TTGGTTATTTTGGTTATTTACTGGTGTACTATTATTAATTAGGGCCAATAAAGCTTGGAGGGTTTCTTGTGAGACGGAACTATTAGGGTTTGTAGTGGTGGTATTATTTTGTACCTGGAGTCCCTGGCTAACAACAGGTGGTTGCCGATTTGGACATTGATGACTAATGTGACCAGGTTGTCCACACGAGTAACATACAACCCCTGAGTTGTTATTGGTATTGGCACCTATAGGCCGAGGTTGGGATAGTTTCTTTTGGTCTTGCATTTGGACCATTATTTTATTTATTGCTTCCGTTAAGCTTTTTAGAGCTTCAGCTGTTTCGTTCGTAGTTGGATTGGTTATTGAAGTAGTTGTGGTTATGCCTGGTAGCCCATACGGAGGGTAATTAAGAGGTTGGGCAGAGTACGCAGTATAAATAAGATTATGCTTATAAGCATTCTCAAAAGCTTTCACCCTCATATAAGCATCTTCTAAATTATTAGGGGTTAAAGGGGATACCACCATGAAAAGTTCTAGATGAAGCCTATTTATAAATATCTGGGCTTTTGCTGAGTCTGGATACTGATGCCCACTAGCTTCTACTCGTCTGAGCATTTCCTCTATTGACATATAATAATCATCCACACTTTCTCTAGTCAATTGTTTTCTTTGTATTAATTGTGCATACTACTTAGCCTCTAGTGCGGAGGTTCGGAACTTAGCAACAAAGTTAGCCATAAAACTTTGTTGAGGAACATTGGGATCATGCCATCTATCAATTAGTGGGTTCTGAGTTCTTCTTGTAACCCACCAGGTGGCTGCAGGTCCTTTTAATTTAGGAATAAGTACTGCTATCTTCCTATCATCTCGGATGAGATTCACTTCGAATGCTTTTTCTACATCCTCCAACCACAATATCGGGTCTTGGTCCCTGCCATAAAATTCCGAGTACAGTATAATACTAAGCTCTTGGTTATTTCCTGGAATGTTAACCTGAACCACTGGTGCTGCTTGCATTTGTTGTACTAATGCAGCAATTTGGTTAGCCAAGGCATGTATTGGATATTGAGCCATGATTGTTTCGATAATATTTAAGAGATTTCTTTATTCAATAATCCACACAATCGGCACCAAATGTTATTATTGTTTTGGGAGAGCGTTATACAATAAGTGCCAGGTTTAACTCCAATAGTTAACTTAAATATATTTTAGGTATCAAATGTTCGAAATAAAGGTCTTTAAATAATATAATCGCTTATATAAATATCAGATAGGTGGCTTGTTCACGTGTTATGACAGACTTTATATTGAATTGGAGGTTTGATCACTTAAATGTATCGATCACACTTAAGTAATTATGACAAAGGTAATAAGTGTAATAAATGTGTCAGTGATTTATTTAATTTAATCGGGGTTTAAGTTATAGTAAAATGTAATTCGATATTTATCAAATAATTAACGAAGCAAATTGGTTATCGATAAATATAGGGAAATAAAATAATAAAAGAAAAATCAAACGTTCAATAA